AGACTCAACACGACTCGACTGACACAGACACAAAGTGGCAAAGTCGCAAAGTCGCAGTCTTGAATTTCCGAACACAATGTCGAAGCAAAGTCGCACTGAAGACGAGCACTGAGACTGAAAACTTTGTGTCCGTACTGGGCTTCAGTCCGTACACAAGTACCGGACTCAAGTACGGTCCTGAGGGCAAAAGTGAAAATGCCTCGGGGCCAGAACTGAAAATCGAAAGTCTGAGAGTGGGAACCAGAATGTCGGATGGCACCAACTGTTTGAAATCAGAAAAGCAAGAATCAAAAACAAAAAGAATTGCAAAACAAAAAAAAAAGAAAACTGTAATGACCCGCCAAACACAGACTGAGAACACTGCTGATTTCTGGGATTTGCCGCTGGAATGAATGCCTTGCTGAGATTCCCGCATTCTGTTGTGGTTTCCAAGTCTGTGTGTGTGTGTGTGTGCCTGCTGGTTTGCATGCCTGTCTGAGTGCTTGTCGGCTGAGTGTGTGTGTGACCCGCCAGGGTACTTGTTGGTTGAAAGGCCCCGCAGGACCGGTACGTACCTGTGGCCGTCACTTTGAGGGTTGCAGCGGGAAAAACACTCGAGTAGCGGGGGTAGGCCCGCGACACTTAGAGCAGCGGGAAAAACACTCAATTAGCAGGTAGGCCGGTACCACTCAAGTAGTGGTAGAAGTGTCGAGTACTGGAGGCCGAGCAGAAGAAGACAAAAAGTTGGCATTTTTGGAGGCCCAGTAGCGGTAGGTTAGAGGTAGGCCGGTACCAGTCCAAGTAGCCCGGGTCTAGGGCCTGTCCGGACGATAGCAGAGCCTGCAATGATGTTTCCCTCCGAAAGGGAGGAGGTACCGGTTGCTGGGAGGCCRCTCGGCCTAGGAAGTCACCGCCCAAGAGGCCAGTAGGCCGCTATATCTTCGGGAGGAGCAAGCAGCTCCTCCTCTCATTTGCGGTATGCCAGGATTGGCGACATGCTGCTGGAGCACAGCGCTAGACTGGTACAGCGCTGCCTGGAGGTGAAGGCAGCTGGGCGCTCAGCCTGGCTATGGCGAGCAGCCCAGCCTGAGGAGGAGAAAGAAGGGGGCGAAGGAGGAGACTGGCGAGGTACCTACCTGGCTATGGTGGACACCATCTTCATCACCTTGTTGGGCGCTGCATCTGGAAGGCCCCAGTTGGGGTAGTGCCGCACCAAAGAAGCAGAGTCAGGCATGGCGGCTTAGTCAGCAGCGGTATAGCTGCTTTGGGTTGTCCTTTGGACAGGAGTGCAGCGCCATAGCCGCTTTGTGTTGTCCTTTGCACAGAGAGGGGCAGAGCCCTCAGTTGTCCGCCATAGCCTAGGCTTGTGAGAGGTGGAAGAAGGGGGGGAAGCCATAGCTATGGTGGACCTGTTGTTGTTGTGTCAGCAGTAAGAGGGAACTTCGGATATTGATTCTGGTTCATCCACTCATTGTTATTATTATTATTGGAAGAAGAATAAGATTGGCGAAGTGAAGGAGGAGGAGGAAGGTGGAGAAAGAAGGGGGATTTGTCATTGGTCTTGCTGGTGTACATCTTCTTCTTCTTCTTCTTCTTCTTCTTCTTCTTCTTCTTCTTCTTCTTCTTTCTCTCTTCTTTGGTCTCTATCTCTTTGCAGGTGCTTTCATTTCTTTCGCAATTGGGTGGCATTGTCTTTCATTCTAAGTTTGCACTTTGGGAATGACCAGGATCGTAACAAAACAAATACAGCACGCTGGCAGGTGGTAACCCTCAGACCAGGGATCAAGCCCTGGCGAAGTCTGTAACAAGTGGAGCAAAGACACTACTCTTGAAATACATGACATGGAGAGCAGTGCCTCAACGTTCAATTTACTGCTTTCAAGGTCATAAAACTTAGATTGCTGGATTGCGCATCTGGCAGTCAGTGCAGTCAGGTTGCACATCTGGCAATCCTTTCATCAGATGGATTCTGAACGTTCAAATCTGGCCAATAACCAGGATGGCCTGGCCAGCCAGCTTCAGTTTTTTGGCGGTGCGAGGGGAAAGAGGGAGAGGTGCTGAAGGGTTTAAGGAGAGGTGCGGAAGGGGCTTAGGGCCCTTTTGATGTCATTAAGGGTATGACCCATGGTTACCAACCGGATGTCCGGATCCCGATCCAGACAGTCCGGTGTCCGATGTCCGGGTCCAGTGTCCAGTTCAGCGGGTCCGGTTGGACCCCAATTTCGAAAAAATCGAATTTTGGGGGGGGGTCCCAGGACGTTTACCTGGGCCGGGGGTACCCCAGAAAAATAATGCTTTTGAGAAAGGGCCCTGTGTGTGATAACATTGGCACACGAGTTCACTGCTTTGCTCTTATTTGGATGGAATCTTGGTGCATTTGAGCTCTCTGCTTGGTACATGACTATCTGGACTTCTGCGTGATTTAGCAACTTGATTTTCTGTCTATCGCTCTCGCTCATATTCCTTGCATGTTGGTGATGTGGGAGGAGGGTCTGGCCGATGGGAGAGGCGACCAGGAAGGGGAGGGCAATAAGGATGGGAGGGCGGTGAAGGATGGGAGGGGCGAGCAGGGATGGGAGGGCGATGACGCCAGACACAGATTAGCGACATTGGATACTGTGTTGGTGGGGCCTGAGGGCAATGACATTGGCACATGAGTTCACTGCTTTGCTCTTATTTGGATGGAATCTTGGTCCATTTGAGCTCTCTGCTTGTTTGTTTGTTTTTTCTCCGGACAACCAGACACTGACACAGCAAACCGGACTGTCCGGGTCTGGATGTCTGGATGTCCGGTTTCGTGTCCGGTTAGCCGGACATCCGGTTTGATCCAGACACGGGTCCGGTGTCCGTGTCCGGTTGTCCGGGTCCGGGGCAACCATGGTATGACCCCTTCCGTACAGATTCATAGAAGGTCACACTAGCTCAAAAGGTGTGGTAATCTGGGATCACATGCAGATTGCCTTCCACTTTTGAAAGAGAAGAACAAATCTGCCTTCAAAAGGAGGGTCCAAAAGAGAGGGAGGGAGGGGGGGAAGAGAGAGAAGGGCAGGAGAACGCTTCAGAACAACTCATTGTCAGGAATTCATCCTATCTACAGTACAGGATGTGTGCCCTGGCTGGGAAGTAGTCCATTTCCTGGATAGTTTGCATTGAATCCTCACAAAACCACAAACTTGAGAAGGATCCTCTAGAGGAAGGGTTCTCTGGGTGCTTGGCGCGCCACTCACCAAATGTGGAAAAGAGAGAAACTATGGTGGGTGTATCACCTCATTGTACCACAGGATCTTCTCTCTATAGTAAACATTTGGCAAGTGGTGCAGCAAAGGCCCTTTTTAATTCTCCGGTAAGTAAACAACCCATTGCGTACACTAAAACAGGAAACCGAACCCATTCAGCGAACAGTACCTGGACCGTCTAGACAGCATCCAAACATCTGGACCTTTTCTGAGACGAAAGGATGGAGCCAAAACATTTTTTGTACCTTTTTTTTCCCGTCCAAGTGTGACTATCGTCTTCACCCAAACAGAACTCCCGGTCATTATAGCTACTGTATTTGGTGCAATTCTCAATCCACACACAGCAATGATTACCGGGTGTTCTATTTGGGTGAAGAAGGTAGGATGTTAAGAGTTGGCTTCAGTCAAAATTTGTTTCTGATACTCAAAAAATTGCAGTCTTCCAAACACACACAAAGCAAATCATTGGATTTCTTTTCTGGAAAATTAACACCTCTAACTTGGCCCAGCTATCGGCCGCAGAAAGAAATAGAGTAGACACGTTTCTAGTTGGATGAACTTGGGCGCTCCTGTAGTGGCCCGTACGGTTCCTAAAATCATGGCGTGTGAAGAGCGCGACTCGAGGAAGTACTGGTGGTTTAAGTAATGCGGGCATAAAACCAAACATCTGGCATCCGGACACCAGCTGCCCAGATCGCCACTGCCCAGATCACCAGCCCCTCCTAGCTACAAGGGAAAAAAACATTTACCAAGAATATATGATTCAGGTGGGTGATGTAAGGACGGAGAGTACAAGGTACTCAATCGTACAAACAACTGTGCATCACATGTGCACTGTACTTGGAAATTGAATACATCAACAACAAGCAAGTTCCGGTGGGTTTGGCAACCCTGACCGATTTCGACCGCAGCCACGCAGTCATCCTCAGGGGGCTTCTCTTCCTGCCTTTTTTTTTTTTTTTTTTTCCCAATAATCCTTCCGCAGGATAACCTACAGAAACCTTGTTACAACTTCTCCTTCCTCTAAATGATAAGGCTGAATGAACTTCTTACAACACCCCCAGCGGCAAACCCCCGAGATCATCACGATCCAGACAGTTCACCACACCAGACCAATCGGTAGGAGCGACAAGCAGTGTGTACATAAGGCAGGCACGTAATAAGCACAAGCTGATGAGTCACACTTAACTTCCTTATGCTTCCCACAAGAATATGGGCCTCGCTCCACTACTGACCAGATGCGCAGAACAAAAAATACAGCAGTGCAGTGAGGCCCTTTTTCAATTCACAAGTGAGCAAACAACCTATTGCACACACTAAAACAGAAGATTCATTCTCATTTTGCACATTTGGTGAGTGGTGGAGCGAGGCCCTATTCCTTGCAAAAATGCTATCAGCTTCCAGCTTGCAAGGAATTTTTTCACATTTAGCGCTGGCAGGTTTTTGTTTTTTTAATGTGAAGCTCGGATGGGTTTTCATGTCTTGCAGTGGGGAAACTAGCCCAAAAAATACCGACTCCACTAAGAAAATACCATCTGCCTCACCTTTAAAGCGATTGGCGGAATTTCTTTTCACCCAGCAAATCCAATGTTCAAGGACAAGAGCACCGTTCTTTCCTACTCAACTACTCCTCCAAAGCTGTACAGAAAAACAAAGAGGGTGGTGCTCTGAAGTTACAGGCAAACAGTAGAGAAAAATACGGATAGTTGTTGGATGTGAACTTGTAAGGCCACCTTTCCAAATTCAAGATCTTCTAAAGAACTTTCCACCCAAAAAAAGCCTTACCAATGCCTGTGCATTATCTTCATATTCGTCCTGCAATGGCGTGCGGTATGCAAGGAATCGCCATAAATCTTGACACTCTCGAGGACTTGTGAGCCCTGGAACTCCCCGTTTCTGGATTTGCTCCCAACTGATTTCAGTGCCATCGCTTCGTGCAATTTCTCGGAGCAATCCCAGAAGCGTCCCAGCAGAGTACCTGTACATCCGTGCACACACACACACACACACGCACACACACACACACACACACACACACACACACACAAACAAAAACAGAAGAAGAAAAGAAAAAAGAATCCGTTATTGGCATCATGAAAATGCTAAGAGTTTTCGCATTGCATATGGAATTCCTGCGATGTCCTCCAGCAAAAGCTTTTCTTGTTCAGCTGGGTTTACTGCCGGACCCGGAATGAAACCTCTATATTTTGTGCAATGATGCTCCTGGCTTTGCAAGTCGTGCTCACAACCTTTAGGACACCTCTAGAACAGTAGTCCTCCTGGTGTCACAACGGGCAGCATACTCTCTGGACCTGTCTCTTATACACATCTAGATGTGTATAAGAGACAGCACACACACAGACCCACACAGACCCACACACACACACACACACCCCACACACACGCGAGATAAGCCTCGTGCTTCTATCTGGAAAACTTTCGTGGTACATGCTAGTTCGTCCAGACAGCAGCCACTTGTCGTGCGAAGAGTGGTCTCGGAAAGCAATTGCACTCGTCGATTATTCACTTTTTGTTCGATGCATGCGTGTCATCCGTGGGTAACGGATGTCCCGATGGTCTCGTTATGTATTCATGCAGAGACCATTGCATGCCTAGGTCATTACCAAATAGCCACAACGCTCCTGTCCAAAACACAGCACCTACACGTGCAGGCACAAATCACGTCCCTTGCCGTCTGCACGCCCGAGTAAATTCTGACAGGGCACTGTAGTCATGACATTTTTTATTTTATTTTTTGTCCTTCTTTCCTTTTTTTTTCTGACAGGGAACTGTAGTCATGACATTTTTTTATTTTTATTTTTTGTCCTTCTTTCCTTTTTTCTTTTTCAAAAGGGCGACGGCCTTGAGATATCATCATCGAACTAACCGGCCCTAAGTACTTCAGAATTACAGTATCTCACTCATCTGCTTCAGCGGAGCTCGAACTCAGGTCTGGATTTCAACAGTTCAGGGGTGTACCAACTGAGCTAGGCCATTTGGTGTCATGACAATTTTTTTTTTTTTTTTTTTTTTTTTGGGAATGACAAATTTTGCCAGGTGCATCGAAAGCTTTTTTTCTATTTATTATTCACATATTAAACAGATCAGGACAGACATCACACTTGACCTTAGCCAAAAGGCTAATAAAAGTATTCTGAGGTCTTCTTTGTCATTACGGAGGAGCCCTGTCAGACTGCAGCTGGGCATCTGCACGTCGGAGCGCAGATCATCATGCAATTAGAAATCTGACAACCAGCGGCTAGGTCCTACTAGCAAAAGACAGGGTTGGATTAAACGCCTGAATCTGAGCGTGTTTGTGGAGAGGTGCACACAATCGCGATAGATCTGCTTTTCTTCATCTCTGCGTAGAAACACGTCCAGATTCAGACGCTCAATCCAGTCTTCTCTGCTACCTTCTTCCCCCCAATACAACGTACGGTCATTATAGCTGTATCCAGACTGAAAGACACCCCAAATACAGCTATACTGACCGTACGTTGTATTCGGGGGAAGAAGGTAGTGAGAGACTTCGCCCCAGCTGCATCCGACCACGCTACCTTTGGCATTCCCAAATCCTTTGTTTCTTCGAGGCGCGGGGGGAGGGGGCTGTTTATGAAGCGTTTGTCGTTATGTGCTTGTGTAAACTGGACCGGCCATCCGAAATTTAGGTGTTCAAAAAAAAAAAAGAAAAAAAAAAAGAAATTTAGGTGTTCAACAAATATCGCGCTACCAAACGCCCCAGCAGAACCCAAGTGCAGGAGTACGAAATGCATTGAACCTGAAGGACCTACCTCTCTTTTCTTTTGCAAATTTAGAGCGACGATACACTGCACCATTTTTTATTTTATTTTTTATCTTTTACTTCACCCTTTCTCGAACTCCACTATTATATTTCAACAGCAAGGATTCAAAACCCTAAACCTTAAGACCCGGAACGCAACAGCCGAAAAGATTACGGTTCGAGGCCAAGAAGAACAGTAGCAGCATGGGTTGGCAACGAACATATTGCCGCAACGCCCCTTGCAGCTTTTGTGAAACATCTTGGCCCAAGTTTTTTTTTTTTTTTTTTTTTCCTGAGGAAACACAAGAGTTTCATTATCAATGGAAAACACTGGGGCCGGGGGCCAAGTCCCACTAGCAGCGTTGAGCTACCTCAACGCCTGAATCTGGACGTGTTTGTGGAGACGTGCAGTTCAGGAAACTCAACACCGTTTCTGCACATATTCGCAAAAACGTCCAGATTCAGGCGTTGAGGTAGCTCAACGCTGCTAGTGGGACCTGGACCCGGCTTGGCCCAAGTATTTGGCGAGGTACCACTGGGCATAGATCAGTTGGTATACCCACAAACTGTTGAAATACAGACCCAGGCTCGAATCCAGATACAATCAGATGGCTAGAATAAAATCATTCTGAATTACCTGGGGCCGGTCAGTTCAATGATGGCATCTCAAGGCCGTCGCCCTTGGAAAAGAAAGAAAAACAAAAAAAAAAAAAAAAAAAAAAAAAAAGCGAGCGTTTGATCATACGTCTACGCCTGGTTTCCCTGCAGAGCATTTAAAGTGCATCTGGAGTTAGTAATGGTCCAGATACATTCAAAGTGCTGGACTGGTCTGGAAGTATCTGGTTCGGAAAAAGCGGTCCAGATACATGTAGATGTTGAGTAGCAGAGCGATGTATCAATGTTTTCTGTTTATGTACGTGTGCACCTCAGCTTGAAGTTTTCACTCTCCATCCTTCCAATTGCTAATTTTAGGGCCTCCCTCCACTACTCTCCACATGTGCAAAATGAGACTGAATCCTCCACTACTCTCCACATGTGCAAAATGAGACTGAATCCTCCACTACTCTCCACATGTGCAAAATGAGACTGAATCCTCCACTAAAACATGGAAAGATACATTGCTGTATTTTTTGTCGTTCGTGTATGTGGAGAGTAGTGGAGCAAGGCCCTTAGTCTGTTCTCGAGTTCTCCGTTCATTTTCCTTTCCAGCTTTTGTCCTCTTTCACCGGTTTTCCCTTTCTCTTCCGTTAAACGCTGTTTTCTGTTTCCCGATTCACTAAAACTTTTCTGGTACTTCAATATTATAGTATAGTATCGTATGTTATGTTATTAATTTATTATAATATTACTTTACTAAAAAAACTGTTTTTACTTTTTAAAACATTACTATAAATTATATACTATCATGTATTGTTATTATTTTGCTGTTTATGTTTATCACATATTCTTTAATACTACATAGTACATACTACATTTTAACATTTTATATTACCCCTTTGGGCATTTGGCTTTGATGTTCCTGGCCGCAATTTCGGCATTTTTTTAGCTGAAATCGTCTGGTCCTACTGGCGGGAAACCGATAAGCCGCGACAATTTCGGTTCAAAAGTCGCCGAAATTGCGGCCAGAAATGGCCAAGTTAAATTCCCGAAGGGATAATATTATTCTTACGATTAATACGAGTTTGTTGTATGAATATTGTTTGTAATATTTCGTATTACTATTTCGATATACTGCAGTACACCACCAATCCAAACCGTGCAAGCTCGGTCTCGTTTTTTTTTAAATAATAAAAACCAAAAGCACAAAAAGCATGGCGTTTTGTGACTCACCGTTCCAAACAAATTTTGACTCACCTATCATAACTGAACACATGTCGACCTCTTTCTCCTTTTTTTTTTTTTTTTTTTTTTCTCGTTGTTTCTTGAACTCACTTCTCCGACTTTCAACATTGCCAGAATCGAAAGAGACATCGCAGAGACTGAACACATCTCGACCACAAGATCACAGCGATGGCGTTGACAGAGTGAAAACAGAAACTGAAAGCACCCTTGGGCAAACAGTTCGGTATTTGCCCCAGACAAGCGCTGTATTTGCCCATGGTTTCTTTTCCTTCATCATCATCATCATCATCATCATCATCATCACTATCATCACACTTGTGATCATCCTCCTCTTCTTCTTCTTCCTTTCCATCGGCTATGGTTTTCCTTTCTTCGTAGGGTGTTTCTCCCCGTCCACTAACCAGAATGGCGGAATCGGAGAAAAGCGGAAAAGCTCGGCGATGCGCTATTTTTTTCCAATCTCTCTCTCTCTCTCTCTCTCTCTCTCTCTCTCTCTCTCTCTCTCTCTCTCTCTCTCT